AGACATGGAAAGCCGGGAAAATACTCATAAACAAACTTAGACATCCTGAATGTCTCAGCACCCAATTCCCTTTTTTCAGCTTGTTGAGAAATAGAACAATGCATAGACTAAATACCGAAGAGAAAACCACTACAACAAAGTTTTTCCTGGCAAGCTTATTTGCTGGCATCTGTAAATCCACTGGGAAAGGGCAGTGCAATCAATAGAGCTGAGGCCCAAGTTCTAATTAGAGCCTTCTGTTTGAAAACAGCTTTTCTTTAAACACTATGTGACTAGTGGTAGTAATAGCATATTCCCTAAAAATAAGAAAATGGTTCATTAGTGTTCATGGAAACAGAAGATCAATCTGCCCTTGTGAAAGTTAATGAATACACAGAAATATCACATCATGACCCCTGATCTCAATGCCTGAGGCAGCAGTATTATTATGCGTTCACCAGAATTGCTCAGCAAGAGGACTCAGATACAACTCTTATTGCATTAATTTTATCTGTGTGATTATTTAAATTAATGACATTCTGGCTGCAAGTCACAAACTTCAAGAGATGCTCATATGCTTAAATATTAATGATGGTTTTCTGCTGTAAGGTGTAAGAAGGGGAAACAAAATTAAATACTAACAATTTTAAGAATAAATATTAACAACAGGACAAGCATGAAAATAAAGCTGTTTCACTCAGACAAATGCTGAAACAATCCAGTTACACCACTACCCTCCCTACCTCAAGGAAACAAAAATTGTTTTGTTAAATCTTGGTCAAGTAAAAAGTGTAAGAGCATTTAAAAAAAAAAAAAAAGTTTTGAAGCATCAGGAAAATACCTTGAGGTCTTGAACGACTTTTGGCAAGCCTTTGTTTGAATCCATCTCCTTCTATAAAATGGAAATGGAGAGGATGTCAGTCATCTCATTTCTCTCAACAGCACGATGATTTACAGTAGTTATGTTGCCCTTTATACCATTTTAGATAATGGCATTTGCATTCTGTTACCTATAATAAGAACATCTAAGAAAAAGAAATGTAATTTGAAGCCTTAATATTATGATTTTTTTTTTTCCACTAATGTATTTGATTCCAGGATTAGCCTTTTAAGATCATTACCTGCCGAGCTGTGCTGCAGTTTGGACCGTCTCCATCTACCCACTGTGCTATTACCAGTTTGTTTTCCTGCTCAAAAGATAGAGTAACTTTTCTTAGCATGGGTTTGAAAAGTGGGGTAAGCAGCTCTACGCTTTCTCTTAAAATCCCTTCTTCTTTTGCCCCTAAAACATATTCTTCCATCTCCACAATCATGACTTGCAGGTTGGCCACTGGTCTTTTGTGGGATGAAAGGAACCAGAGGGTACGGCATTTCTGTCCGGTCTTTGAGGAGCAGCCATCTGAGAAATCACACAGCGTTAGTTAGAGCCGTATGAACGGCAGAGGTTACACAGAGCCAAAGACCTGCTCACTTGGATGACTTTGCAGAACACTTTTGTGCCTTTGAAAAAGTTATCCAGGAAGATCTGTGGACATTCGAGAAAGAAGGAGGTTGAAGCACATAAAAGACTGCGCTGGAATTTGGTGGAGCAATTGAAACTAGTCTGTAAAATTGTTGTCCTGTATGTAAAAAGGATGATAAGCTCAAAAACACCCTTGTGAAGTCCTGTTAACGTGAAGGGCCTGTGTGTAGGGCAGAGTCTGGAGAAAAATAGTTCTCAAGCATTTGGCACACGTTGATCTTTGAGTTCCCTGGTAATCCTGGTCCGCACAGCTCTACAAATGGATTTGCAGCATGTTTTCTGAAGTATATCTCTTCAGACAGAGAGTAGCTCAGGTACCTGAAGGATTTCCACTCCAATTCTGCATCTGTTTTCACTGGCATATCAGGTACCACCGGCACCCAACCGGCACACACGATGGCATCATTGCATCAGTGTTGTACACACACAGTCTGCCGTACAGTCTAAACACCCCAGCTCAAAATACAGTGAAGACCTTTCCCTCAGCATAAAGCCAGTAACTATAGGAGTAGCAAATCCTCTCACTTCCTTCAGCTAATGACCTTGCTAACTAAGCAAATCAGCAATGATGCAAAGATTAAGTGACTTGATCTGTTGGTACCACAAATTAAAACAAAGTAGCTTCTTGATATTTTGTCATACACACACAGTAATTCAAAGCAAAGCTACTTTTAGGCCTTTTTTCCATCCTTCGCTGACAGTTTCACCAGAAAGAGTAATCTCAGAGCTAGATTTAATGACTCTTCATTTAAAAGCCAAGGTTAGAGTGGCTTTTTTTGTCTTCTTTGTAATTGGACTGTTCAACCACAGATAATCGTCTTATATCAATCATTGCATGAGTGAAAGGTGAATAAAAGCATTTACTGAACTGTCATATCCATGATAAAACAACAGATGCTGTCAGCTCTAAAGGGAATACATTAGCAGAAGTAAACCTGAAAGATAAAGACCTATTAGTCATAACATGCCTTTCAATCATTTATTTATGTTAGCAGTTCAGCTTTGAAATAAAGTGAGCATAATCCTTATTTACAATAAATTAAGCTTATCTTTGCACTATGGTGTATCTTAAACAATGATGGCATATTGATTTTTTTCTTTCAGAAACACATTTACCTTCACCACACTCATCAGTTTGCTTCCCTGAAAGCCTCCCTCACCTCCAGGTCCGTTACTATAACCTTTTGGACGTAGAAAAACAACATCTTATATTTTCCCAGTGTTTTATTCCACTACTGATAATATGTTCTTTAAACTGACATACAGATCCTAAGCCCAAACCAGTTAAAAAAAGATCTTACTGGAATGGCTGGTTACTTCAGGACCCTGTAAGAAACAGAAAGGCTGAATTGAGCTGGAAGCACCTGCTCCTTCCTTTTTCCTGGAGAGAAAGTTTGTTGAATGAAGAAGGTAAAGACATTATACAGCACACGGTGAACTCAAGAGCAGAACTATCCCAATGCCTCAGCACTGTAACAGGGCACAGCTAGTTGTAGTAGCTGAGCACGTTGGCTTGGCATTGGCCACCATAAGGGACTCAGACCTTGCCGGCCTTAAGTGGAGTAGAAGAATTACTTCAGCCGTCTTGAAAGCTAAATGCTTTTACATTCCCTTATGACATTTAGTTGTTTTGCAGCAACATGGCCTTGTTGTCTTGTAATCTGCTATAACCCTTACCTCCCTTTCTAAAGGGCTGCTGTCTTGCTTCTCTTCCCATTATGTATTTGTGTAGTCAATTAGCCTTGCTTAGAAGCACTTGTCCCTATTGAATTTCTTCAATTTGTCCAAATCATTTTGTATTCTAATCTTGTATGGCTGCGTCCTTCCTTCCCATTTTATAGATCCGCAGTTTTAGTCAGCACACTCCCTACTGCTCCATCCAGGTTATTAACCAAGACTGGAAGCAGACACAGAACCACACGCTACTCTGCGTATCCTCCTCCAGCACTGAACAGCGACAGCATCTCTGAGTACAGCTCCCTGTAACTACGAGTATAGTTTTGAAATCTACTTTTAGTCATCATGTGGGTCATGATCAACATCATGTCCTCCCAGTCTGCTTTGAAACTTCATGTTCAGAATTCAAAGCCAAGATATTTGCTATTTTTACTCAAATCGTAAGACCATTACCTCTGTCATATGAGAAAATCAGCCGGTCATAACTCATTCTCTACAAACACAAACAAATGAAGCTCATTCTCTACAAACCTACCTGGCCACTGCATTCTTTTACTTCCAGGATATCTGCTGAAAAATTAGCTGCTAACATTATACGTACTTATATAAATGCAACTATCATTAGATTTGTATCCCAAAATTTTTTCCATTAAAAAGAGGCAGAAACCATATTCCCTCACTGCTGCAACCAAAATAAGACCTAGTCCTTAAACGTGTTTGGAATGAGATGGTTAGAGACAATCAGTCTGACTTGTAACCTGACAAGGCATTCTTACTCAGAGCTTGTTAACAAAATTATTTAACTACACCTCGCCAAGCACAGTGCTTCATCTGCATTCAGAGTAATCACAGCTTTCTATCTACAGCTGTTATACATTTCTGACCATTTGGCATAGCACACAGTAGTCAACAATGCTATTTTTGAAAAGTCTGTTTAATTAAGACGCTGGTGCCAATGTATGAAAGTAGTGCCTAAGATGGATACTGTCACAACAGAAGAATTGGCTTTCTGCCACCAAATGGTTTGTGGGATTGTGAGATTCCTGTTGAATCCACCACGCTGTTTCACTAGGACATCCAACAAGTGGTTGTGTGGATTCAGATGTGGAGGGGGGATCCACAGCAAACCACTGGCCCCCTCCATCTGCCCTTTGAGTGCCCCAGTGGCTCCACAACAGCCCTGTTCATGATGCTGATAGCAATAACAAAAGCACTGTACCACAAATCAAGTGGGGACCTTTTTCTTTTTTATTTGAAACATTTACAGAGACGGAAATAAATACAGGAAATAGAAGATAGAGAGGGTGCTTTTAAAAGAAATCAATCAAGTCTTCATCAGGCTTCAAACAGGAAAAATTGTATCCAATAGCTGCTTAAAACTGGCCACCATTTCAAAGGTCAAGGATTAGGCTGAACAATAATGTAAATAAGATAAGCATTACAACAAACGAGGGTGACAGAGCTGACATCAGTGAACACACAGCTGTAATAGACAAAATGGAACCACACTACAACAGGGAAGTCTCATATATTTACAACATACCTGTCATACAAAAACATTTGGAAATATTTAGGGAGTGATTTCCTCTCTGTCCAGCTGTAAGATACAAAAGAAACACTGAAGGGTTTGTTGGTTTTGTTCCCCTCCCCAATATCTACAGAACAGTTTTAACTTTTGGCAAAGTTTAAAAAACACTTTGTATTGCAGGAATTTTTCATCCAACCTGAACTTTTCTGTGTTTCCATCCTTGCTTATCATCACTGTCATCCACTGGGGCACTTTGTCAGAAGATAAAGAGTTTGTAAAGTTGTTTGCAGTCCTTTATCGATGATCTGACCTGTAGGTTGGAAAAGTGTCTGTGCGATGAAGCTTCACTGGGCTAGAAACATCTTCGCCAAGTCAGATGCAAAAAAACCAGAAAAATACTCAGTAAGACATAAGTATCTTATTCAGCATTTTATAAAGGACCATGTGAACTACAGACTACAGCCTTTTAATTAAATCTACCTCTGTTTAATCTGCTGCTTCATCTCAGAACCATCTCGGATTTTCTTTCTCAGTTCCTTCAGAACAGAAAGTTATACAAAGCAAAATAATTTTTAAGTTCTGACTTTGCATTTTAAATAAAAAATGCACCCTATCTCACAATATTAGCATCAATTCTTCTCTGAACATTAGAAAAGGGGACAAGAGTCAATTCAGAAATCATAAATTCCAGCTTTGGTGGAAGAAAGTTTTTGCAGACAAGGTTTCAGGTGCCTCTGCCATTCAGTAAGTGAAATGCTGCTTCATGCATATGGAATTGTACAACCTGGTATACCAATTATTCCATATTTCTTTCTCCAGTAATAATTGAAGCATTTCAAGATTTTTGGCAACCTAATCTAATTAGAGGTGCTCAGGGTAACACTGAAGTCATAGCCCTGACTGATGAATGAGACAAGGACTTCAGTGTCTTTCCTAATTACATTGCTGGCTGCACAGCTTACTTATTTTACAGACTTTTACTACATTCTCACGACGACAATCTCCTAGAATCCTTTTTTTTTTTTCTCCCCAGTTTAACAAGCAAGCTATTTTTCTAAATATAAAACAAGCAGTTTGTACCGTACAGTCTATTTATCTTGTGTCAACTCAATGCTGAATTACTGTTTTAATAAAGGACTCTACAGTAAGGCACAGTAAGACCAAGCCACTGATTGTGTCAGAGTGCTGCAAGCAGTCTTGTTCCCGTGTGCCACAGGCTGCCACCAGCAGGTCATCTTCCCATGCCCTAATTTATTGAACAAATTTGAACAGGCATGTCAGTACTGCTTTTATTCTTCAGCCCTTCTCCGAAACATTTGCCGGGTTTAGCTGGGGCTTTCCGTGTGCTGCCTGCCCCCTCTAGTGCTGGAACAAGCAAAAAGGAAAAATACCGGCTTTTGTGGTTCCCTGGAAAATCTGCTGAGAACCAGAATGGCATACAGCTACCGCTTGTAATTTTTAATCACAGCTTGTGATACTCCGTGTTCTGCAGGTGCTAACCTCTACAATCTCCTGCTCTATTTTAAAAAGTAAAACAACTATCTATTATTCATTATTCCTGGAGAAGCTCCTACTATCTGAGAGGAGGGAAAAAAAGAAACCAAAAAAAAAGAGTCTCTAAAAGTTTTCGAAACTGGGATGTTTTAAAATGTCTGTATAATGATTTCTAAATGCTTGATGTTGGTAAATGATTCCTCCATGTTAGTACTCAGAAAGCCCTACCAGCTCCTGAGGTTTTCTGCTAAACACAGGTTTACCTGTGGGTTTTTTACAGCAGGATGAAGCACCAAGAGCAGGGCTGCCCCTTGGAGCAGCACACACCAGCCCTGACCTTCAGGGATGACAGAGAAACAGCCCGTATCCTGATGACGAGCTTCACTTTCTAATGCCCCCACAGTGAAGGGAAACTGCTTCATCCAGGGAAACTTTACCATCCAGATGTTTAATCAAGCTCAGCCTTTGTTCCATATGTTGTGAAAATAAATTTATGGCAGGTATTGGCTCCTTCCGTTCAACACTCCAGGCTGTCCCCCTTCCATTAAGTGTTTAGTCTGTTTTTTGCTGGCTTTTCTGAGTAATGCCCTGATCCCAACATCAGAACTCATCAATACCAACTTCTGTACAAACACTAACTCAGCCAATCCACGTCACTTAGAGTGGATTGAAGAGAGGTTTGAAATACAAAGTGGGTGTTGGTTGTTTGGGGTTTTTTTTAATTCTAAAAACACACATGAGCACAAGATGCTGACTTTGGACCGGCTCCTCAGAGGTACCAAGCACCTGCAGCCCCTACTCCAGAGGTGCCTCTGGGGTAACTGGCACAAAGCAGTGAGTGCTTGTTAGGTGCTGCCATTTTCACCATCCCAGGAGACTGAAGTTCAGTTTTGAAACACTCTCTGAAATACAGGGGCAGAGATGGCTCACATCAGCACTGCTGGGAAGCCCCTGTTAGCCATCCTTCCCACAGGTCCCCCCTCCCCTCCCTATCCCCACCCCTGTGCTCAGTAACCAGGAGATGTCCCTTGGTCACCATGGAGGGACACTGGGTGCAGAGACCTCCCCGGGGAATGATTCCTCCCTCTCTGCAACTTGGGGAGGTTTTCAGGCAAGAGAGGACTGAGCTGTGCTGTCCCTTGGGCTGATGGCAAGGAGGGGATTTGGAGAAGACACCTGCCTGTCTTCAGGCCACAGTGTAATGCACGGCGGCACCACTGCAGCTGTTCAAGCCGCAGTTTTCTAGAACTACTTCTTGTGGTCATTTCCTTTTACTTTCCCTAATTCAGCTGTTTTTGAGGATGCAGTTGTTTTGGTTGAATGTTAGCAAGTACACAAAATGAATAATGAAGACTGTGTCATTCTTAGTGTGAGGCATCCATCCAAAGGAGAGGGGAGTCAAATGGTTATAAGTCTGGCAAAAAATCAGGTGCCATTAAAAGAGTTTGGTAGCAGGAAGGATGGGGCAAACTTAGTAACTGGCCATCCTGTAAAAACAGCCAGAAAACTTGTCAAATGAAGGAACTCTCTCCAATGGGAGATAAGAAAAGCACCTCCTGATGACAAACCCTCTGCCAAGTTGTCCATCTTAAGGTGGGATGTGCTCTTCAGTCCTTCAACCAGACAGCGGTGGCAACTGGTTTAGACTGAACATCAACCTTCAGTGAGGTGGACAGATACCGAAATGATTCAACAATGTCATGATCCAGCTTGTGCATTGAGTCTTTCCACCCCAGCCCCTTACCTTGCAGACCGTAGAGCTGGCCAGTGCTGTGCTGTCGCGTGATGTGCTGCCAGTAGGCACTGCGGGGCAAGGGCACCATGGTGCTGAGGGACACGGCTCGCTCGCTCATTTTCATCTGAAGCTGCAAAGCAGTACACTGATGTGAAGGAGACAGTCCGAGAGTAGCACGACCACTGGCTGCAACAACCTCTAATGAAACAGCTGCCACAGCCGCTCCCTCCCTCCATCTGCCCACCCTACGCGAGCAGCAATGACTAACTCGGGGATTAGTCTCCACGGGCACACATCACTCGGGTTAGGAGGCCACACTGCTGTTGCACACCAAACCTCACCTTGGTGCTGCCCTGGTCCTGGGCTAGCACTGCTTCCCCTGAGGGGAGTTCTAACTCAAGCAGCTGAAACAGAAACCAGGGATCAGCAGAAGGTAGAAGAGTGCCGGTATGTTCCCTCTTTAGCCATCAGAGGGGTCTTCCCAGCTACACAAGCGACTTACCAAAGCAAAACACAGCCTCACCATACAAAGAACCTGACTGGACATGTTTCACATGAGTGACGACAAGCTGTTCTTGTTAGTTTTGAAGCATTTCTATTAATCTTCCCACTCCTACAGTTGAGGAACATGTCGGCTGGATGGCACAAGAGTTCAACAAGAGACAACCACATCCTTCAGCCAGATTCCTTGAATGAACAGTATGTCCAGGTATGCTGAGAGGAGAGCACATGGGCTGTACTGCACCACTGGAAGCCCTATCTCACGCTTCCCCCTCCACACAGGGTCTTCAGCTACATTTTCTTACATAATCACAGTCCCTTGTTATTTATACTATACTTAACACAAAAATACATAACAACTGACTCCTTTAAGGCATTTTTTTCCCATGAATTCAGTAAGATGTGCAAGCTGATAAAAATATTTGGATTTTATCATAAGCTTCACAGTACAGTTAAAATTATCCTCCCAAAGCTCAGGAAAACATCAGCTCAAACACACCAAGACTGCACTTGACTTTTCTAATTTATAAAGATAGCTTTTTATAAAAGAGTAAGTTTTACATTTTCATTTCACAAAATCTGGGGTGAAAGAACTTTTTACAAGATCAGTACATTTTGAAGCAAATAGAAACAGGCAAAGCAAGAACAGAAAAGAGGTGAGGGCTGGCTGTATCCGAAGAGACTCATTTCCAAGATATTTAGAAATGCCATCTACCGTCAGCCTCCTCTCTGTACAGTGGACACTGTGCGTGTGATGTGAAGGTAAAACAAAACCAAACCAAACCCAGATCAACTCCTGCTCTTAAAACACCCACTTCCACGTCAGCTGGATGTGAATCACTGCACCACACAAGGTTCCACCTACATTGTACAGTGTATTTATTACCGCTCCCTCGCTAAAACCCCGACACCCTTTGCAGTGTCACCACAGACATCTCAGCACCATGGAAACAAACAACGATGGATCTTTTACTGGGAATAAAAATCAGCAGAGCATTGTGAGTATGACATTTCCCAGCTGTAGATACCATTTTTGGTGGTTCCATTTATTGGTGAGTTGGACAGCAAACTAAGGCAGTTTGAGCAACAGTTCAGCTGTCAGGAGTGCAAAAAACCAAGAGGCTATCTTGGGAGAACAAAGAGACATAGCTAGAGAAAGATTAGATAAAGACACAGAAAAGGGCCAGAAGGGGTGCCTCTCCTGAACACAATCAGTAGGGGAAAAAATTTCAAAATCCCACAGCTGGAGAAAAGAATTAGTATGTTCTGTCTTGAATATACAGCATTTCATCAAAACACCTTGGACTGCAAGCAAAGGCAGCTTTAATGGTGATTGATTTCATTCTCACAATTAACCTACAGTATCTCTGTGGCAACAGAGAGAGTAGGAATAACTTGATAATGACCTGGTTTTATGCCACAGAAGCACCCGGCACCGTAAGCAGGTCGAAAACAGTTGGAATTGATATGCTGGAACACGTGTGAGCAAAGGCTGCGAGCAGAGAGCCAGGCGGGACGTGCAACTCCACATATCATTAATACAACAAGTAATTTCTTAACTGGAGGGCACCTAATCCATAGCCTTTCACCCTCTTCTGCCCAGGGGAGAAGGAGAATGCTGAAATCTGAAAGGAGATCAGAATCCCCAGAGCAGTTCAAATGCAGTTCCCTGCACACGTGGCAGAGACCAAGTTACGTTAAGTCACGCTTAAAGCAAAGTAGCAGCAAAGATGTAAGAAGTGGCGACGGACAACACAAAGCCACCCCGCAGCTCCAGTGGCCATGAGAGATCTGCAGAGGAAGGGGATGGAGAAGCAGCACTGGCAGCCCTCGGCAACCAGTGTCAAGAGTAGCTGAGGAGCCGCTGTGCCACCACCTCTTGTCACTTCTTCTCACCTGGATGAGAGATGTACAGAGCTATACTAAGGTAGTTTGCTGGGCTAACACACAGCTCTGGGTAAAACACAGGGTGCGGTTGGTTCCCAGAAGTCCTGGGGGCTCAGGGAGGAAAGATTAAGTATTTTCTTTCTTAGATCCCACCTTAACAATCAGCAAAACTTGCGTTAGAAACAAAACTACTGCCTGCTAAAAAAAAAAAAAGCACAAACCAAAATAAAACAAAAGCCACCCACCAAAACCACACAAACAAACCAACCCCACCTGAACACCAACACCCTCCCAAGCTAGGTGTGAGAACCACACAAACAAACCAACCCCACCTGAAAACCCATAACATCCATACACCAACACCCTCCCAAGCTAGGTGTGAACATGGGTCCAAAAGGAAAGAAAAGAGAGATGATTTAAGATTTGTTAGGTTTGGTTGGATTCCTCAGGCTGGACAATCCAATTTTCAAGGATTTTGCAGAACAACTTGCACTAGGTAAACCTTCATCTTGAGAACCCCAATTGGAGAAGATTGCACTCACTGTGTTTTTGAGGGAATATTCTTCCCAGTGAAGCAAATCCATGTAATCAATCAAAACCAATTAGAATGATAATTGCCTAAGAAACATTTGCTAAATTCATTACAGCAAAACTACAGAATGGCAAACTAATAAAAACAACTTCAGAAATTAGAGGGTGCTAATATATTGCTGCTGTTTTGACTGCTATCCATCTTACACTAATACTCAATATTCTCCTCTTATTTCAAAAGTTAATGAGCACCGTTTCCACTCTTAATTACAAATTTCTGTGAAAATGGTCAGAGATAATAGCAGGCTCCAGCCTGGGCAGAGGCACATCAGATGGATCAAGTGCAAAGTGCACACTTGAGCTGCTGAGCGGGGAAGAAGAGTCAGGGAAGGCTACCAGTAAACTGGCTAATAGCATCTTTCTATGAAGCACTGAGCTTTAGGTGCCAAAACTGGGAAGTTCACTGTTATTACTTCCCAGTGAGATGTCAAGTCGTAATGTCTTTTTTAAAGTAACCTGAACTGAGAGCAGGCATAAATGATAGCAGTCAAGTCACAGCACTGCTCCTGTCAGTTTTCATGGCAATGAAATACTCGTGAAAATATAATTTGAATAGATATTTTCTTTCCATTGCCTGGCAATGCAAAAGTGAAAGGAAAGAAACAGTTGGATAAGACGAGTTACCAAATGACCAGAATGGTTTCATGCATCACTAAGCAAAGCCAGCTCTTTCTTCCCTTTAAAAGAGAAAAGGGAGAGATCTTTGAATTCACTGAAAAGGAAAATAAATGAAACCCACTTGTGAAAGTGTCACAGACTCTGGTCAGCATATGCTCAGACCTCAGCAGAAAGCAACAGCACATTAACAGAAAGTGTCAGGGTGAGGTTCCCTGCTGAGGAACCACTATCGCATCAATTTTCCATGTGCATTTCAAGAGCCAGAGCCAGTTATAGTCACAAACTGAACCAACATACTGTAACATAAAGAGAGCGACTGCTAGGGAGGTGACAGACACATTATAGCCCACATTCTCAACGCTATTTGGCAGCTTTATTTTGCTTTATCAGCATGGGATAGTCAACTGCTTTTTTTTTTGTGGGGGTTTTTTTGGTTGGTTCCTTGTTTGCACAGCTTCCAGGAGCCCTCAGGTAGCTTAATATCATTTTCACCTCGTTCTTGGATAATTCACATCGCTGCTGTAGCAGGAGCAAACTGAAGACACTCACAGTGTAGACTTCATTTCTCACCACCGTATCTCCTACTTTCTTCTTTTATTTACCCTTTCTGTAAATAATAGCTCAAGCTTCACTAATACGAAAATTCACTCAGGGTAAATAATTCTTGGAGATAGAAACAATATAGACAGCTGAGCATGAAGGACAAGCATTTAAAATTAACTCCTTTCTGAGGTGTTCAAAAGCAGAAGAAAAATACAGGGGAAATCAATCAATTTGAACAAAGATGTACTTTACAAATATTTTGTAATCAGCAAAATAAGCCACCTGAGTTCTACACTGATATAACAATCCTCTGCCTAAACTTCTAAATCTGACTATCCTTGAACCCCACAGAAGCCACCAAGTCTTACTGAGTATTTCAGAACCAGACAATGTTTCTGTGACAGACTTGGGAAACTCGTATTCAGGGGCATATGGACTCATCTGAAACAATTATATTCTGTTACTAAATTACAAGACTTTCCGTTCACCAGGAATATGTTCTTATCCCCCACTTAGCACTCTAGGGTCTATAAAATTAGATTTAGGGGTTGTGGCTGGACACAGTGCTCATTAAAAAGCTTTTAGAGGTTGTGCAGCTGCTCTCTATTGAAATCTATATCAACGGTGTATCTGTTGAGCTTTTGCACTTGTAAAATGGAAATTTTACAGTAAGCATCAGATATCATCTATTAAAAATGCTATTACATAAATATAAAACCAACAAATATTAAATTGCCTGTAAGTCTATTCCCTATCGTTACAGAACTTACCCCTGTTTTTTGAAAATGAAGTTGTGCTCTCAACAGCTTACTTAATCGTTTCTGATCCTGGTGGGCTACAAATGTTAGCTAGTTACGCTGACTTAGCCTAGGTTAATTTTAATCTGCTTAATTTAGTTACTGTTGAGTACTTGTATCATCTACCCATCTGTCTCAACTTAGATAATTCTGGGTATTTTTGAACAAGAACTCCCTTCATTAACTAGAACTAAAAGGTTCTTGGTTTTAAACAAAAGTCAAAACCAGCAAAGATGGTGTTAGATGATACTTTACTGGGAAAGAGAAAAATAGCACTGAAACTGGCTGTAGAGTTCACCTGCTAGTTCTAATGTATTTGAAAGAAAGCAAGCAAAGCGTCAAGCTCTTCCTAGTGAACCTGGAAGGGCTGGGAAAAGCACGTGGCCTGAATAGACACAGGGCAGAGGCTGCCACAAGAAAGGCTCCAAGTCCTCAGAACTTCAACCTCACAGACGCAGCACTCCCCCACGGGCTTTACAGAATCGACCACATTGTAATGACACCAGCCAGAAGTTAACAGAGTAGCAGCAACTAAACACTGGTATATCACACTATATGTGGGGGCGGGGGAGAGAGAGAGAGAGAGAGAGAGAGAGAAACACTAACTAGTCTCTTTCCTATTGAAAATAAAGACATTGCATGACCCACATAGAAACAGACTTGCATTTTCCTCACTTTTCCATTTCAGTTATCCCACTAGCTCTACAAATGACAGAATTATCCATTTGCCTGCATGCTCAGCTAAAGCAATCAGTTATCCAGTTCACTAGATTGGTCAGGACACTTGGAAAGAGCTTCCTATTGCTCCTCCTCTCCTCATTTTCTCCTCCTCATTGGACTGCTATTAAGAGAAATAACTTTCCTACTATGTATTTGGCTTCCATTCTGTCTCAAATTCAAGAAAGTGGAAGAACAAAAGAAATGCAAGTACTTAAGATAATTTGTTCCCTTCTCCATTCCCTCAACACCCACTCTCATATTTTCTTAAGTTTCCACAAGTAGTAATGGCATTTCCTGTTTCAACCCAGCTGGGTCATCCAGTTAATACTGGGGTAATTCATCACTACAACTTACCCCTGAAACCAAGATGTTAGTAGAATTATTGAGAGGATTAGACATGGATGTGGATAACTGCAGCGCTGATGTTTACAATAAGAGAAAGATATGTCTTCTTGTGGATTACATAAACCAATTACCACTGCCTAGAACAGAGATGTTGTTTATGGCCAAATTCTTCCACAGTTATCCATTCTGGACATTTTATACATTCCAGAAAGCCTGTTATCTTCAGCATACTCATTTTGCTGCCTGGGTCACCCTGGGAGTTCTGGAGTGTAGAGACCATTGTGAATGGGTTAAACAGAACATTCCTTTTCACTCTACAGGCTTCATGACCAAAAAAAAAAAAAAAAAGAGAAAAAAATTAAAGTGATCCTGAAGCACATTAGGTGTAAGTGCCATAAAATTGCTTTTCCTTAGACATAATGCTTTTGGAGATCCCACACTACCTTTTCTCAGTCTGTATATTAGTTTTGCATCCTACACTTCTATATTTCCTACCAGTCATGTGTGTCATAAAACAAGTTTTAAATACAAAAAGCACTTGTGGAAAACAGACATCCACTGAGAGATCAGATAAACATCTAGTCCACCCCCATAGTTTAATCTGAACCATATGACTCTTTCCAAATCATCCTTGGAGTGTAGACATCAATTAGAAAATGGAAAACTGAGCATGAGCCACAACATTTTGCAAATAGATTGATGAGAAATGCTTCCAAACAAAGTCATGGTGCTGATTAATCAAAGGAACCTAACGAGAATGTGCACTGACAGAAGCTTATCATCTCTGTATTAATTCACACTTTTTGATAGCTTTGCAAACACAAAAATCAAGGACTATAAGTTTCCCTGTTGTTTTGATTCTTGAAAAGCAATCCCAGTTATATATATATTACCCTAAACATTATAAACAAGCAGAGTTTAATAAGAACAATAATCAGATTGCTTACTATCTGTGAATTAAAACTGAAAAATCACATTGAAGAAACATGTTGTTCTTCAGTGTCCAGTACGAAATAACTAGCGTAATGAGCAGCCATACCATTGAATTTTTCACACTTTGCAACAAGCGCTCATGTTGTTCTGCTATAGCCAAAGCAGCCGAGTGAACTTTCTGATAGATTGCTTCCCCATCTCTGGTCTGAAAGATGAATAGTCCTTCTCCTGTGTCACACATCCTGCCAAAGCAAAAAGTTTACAGGTCACCATGAACAAGCAAAACTTTATCACGCTGCTCTAGAAGTGCTATTGCACAAGCAGTAAGAAAACAAAGGTTGTTGAAATATGGAACAAAGCTATCTAGAAGTCTTTGCATATGAGTCTTAGCAGCCCTGGTCCAATCTTACTATTTTAGCCCATATTTGTCTTGCGTTCGCCAAACATAGATCAGTTGTACTTAGTTGAGTCCATCATAAGTGCTTAAGCTCTAGAGAGTTTATGCACAAGACCCAGATTTTTTATATTTAGATCCTATCTAGAATCTGTGCCAGGTAGGATTAATTTGTCTTCCCCTTTCAGACTTTTAACACTGCCTGTAATGAGATTTGCAGAGTTTTGTCATCCACTTGAAACAATAAATACATATCCTCAGCATCTCAATTGCATTGTCTTATCATGGCTAATGCATGATCAGCTAAATAAAAATGTATCCTTGTCCACCCATAAGAGGACTAAATTCTGCAGTAATATGGAGGATGGACATTTAAACACCTCTTTCCTATCTATCAGTTAATTGTATGATCTGTTTCTCTTTTACTATTCTAATTCTTTAATGTGCTTATCTAAAATAATGCATCCATATCCCTTAGAGAGCATTTGACAGTTTAGTTCAATAAACAAGTGCTCCACCTTCAGCCAGACAAAGACTTCAGCTCATTAAGACTGAGCTGCAGGAAGCAATACAGAACAAGATCTCAAAAACAAGGAATTACATTCACATTTCTTATAAATCCATTTGTTAAAAAGTTGCAAAACAGGAATATCATCAATGGAAAACAGGAGTCCCTTCCTCTTTACTCTAGTTTGCTTTAGGGAAACAACTTAGCACTCACTGCTGTCAGCTTCAAACTCCTCTTTTCCTACTATAGAGCCCATAACTCCATGCCCAAAGGCCCACATTATACAAATTCTGGAATGACATCCACCCTTTCTTCCCAGATCTGTCCATTTAATTATCTGGCTCATATATAGCTTGCTTTAAGAACAACCCTATACAGTAGTATACAATGCTATCAGCCCCCACCCTGCAATCCCGTGGGATACCTCAGCTCTCCCACTCCTGACCCGAGGCACTTTTATTTGGCAACTGCTTCCATTCAAGCTGCAACCTGGGATTAAGAGGTTTTTTTATTTGTTTTTATATTTTCAAGTTTTTAATTTTCTTTTTCAGCAGAGGGTACAGACTAGCCTCTGTCTGAAGATAAGCTCTCATGTCCTTCAACAACCTTTGGAAGTGGTTCAGAGCACCCCTCAGCACCACGGACAAAAGCAACGCAATATAGCAAACACACACACACCTACCTCCCTGCTTCAAATGTGAACCAAGACGGGTCCCGCCCGTAGCGTCGGAGGGCACTTAATGGCCAAGAGACGAGTTTTACTCTGGGATTCTGGATGTCCCAAAGACAGATATTCTCAAATGTTATCTGCAAGGTACATTCCCCATGCACATCTAAATTAGGGGATGGCATCAAATACACATTGAATCTCTCTGGGAGAAAAACAAAAGGTTAGTCTAAAATCCCTGCCCATTAAATGTGCAAGTCATTAAAGGAATTTCCTATTTTCCATCTCTAATACAAGATCTTATTTCCACTTAGAACACTTAATTCAAAAACAAGGACTCAATCCCTTCCAGTAACTCAATAAACTCCATGTTTGGGGCAGTCAGAATGCTGCAATCAAAAGGTATCAAACATTTGTGCGTGCATTCAGACACCGAAGAGAACTGCACCATCATAATCCTGATATTTGTGAACAATTGATAAAATTGTGTGCATGAATAAATACATTGTAATTGCATCTGTGCATGTAATTATTTAATTTGCATAGGAAAGTGAAGTAGGTTTTGCATGCAATTACTATTATTTATTATTTGCTTTACAATGCTGCCAAAGAGCCCCAGTCACAGACTGAAACCTTTGTATAGACATTATACAAGAAAACACAAAACAAAAGATAGTCCCCATCTCCAAGAGCAACTAACTTGTCTGAGAAAGAAAGGTGCTACTCCAAAATAATTCCAGTTACCTTACTTATTATCTCTGGTAGCAATTTAAAAAAAAACCCAAACAAACAAAACCAACCCCCACAAAACAGGAAGGAGGGCTTGGAAAAACAATTTTGCTCCACTTTTTGATATTCATATGCACAGTCCAAAAGACTTTAAAATAATGCAACTAAAGATTTAAAAGGTCAACATTTATGTACCTACCGCTCTGCTCCCTCTCTACTCCAGATGCCAACAAGTCAGGCTCACCAAGGCTAATGTCATTAATTCGCGTTCCAAGACACTCCATCTGCAGCACCTTGCACCACTCATCTGCCTCAAGTTCTGTATAAATGCCCAGAAAAATCTGTGTGTAGGTATAATACATTTATAATTTCACAATTAATGCTCTTATGTTTTCTAATGTGTGTTGCCATTTTACTCACCTGACTCGCAAGCAAAGGTTTTTGATGTGTCATCATTAAAATAAATCCCAACAGCATGCTTCTTTGTGCTTTTTGGCATTCGTAATATATTCTTCACATTATTGAGCTCTGTGACCTGAAAATGCACAATTTGGACTTTTAATTAGGAGCTTGAAAAGAGATACATCCATTATTGACTGGAGAAGGAGAGGAAATAATTATATCATGTTGCAATGGACAGGGAAAAGGAGAGAGAGCATGAACACATCTATGATTGCTCTTAAAGAAACGCAGTCTTGACATGAATCAGCTTAGACAATCAACTTGAAGACCCTGGATGATGAAGCAGCCACATCCTCCAGTTCTCTCTTGTCTGTACATGAGCTTCAGTGCAACACCATCTGAACAGGATTTTAGCCAAGAAGCAGGTAGAATCAAAGCTTGCTCCAGTTTGAGAAATATTTATGTGAAGGACATGAAAAAGACCAACCTGATATAGCAGAAGCAGAGAGGTGAAGAAAAAAAATCTAAAATCTAAAGGATTCACCTATTTGGACGAGCAAGTCCAGTTCCAGTACAGCTTGCATCATGGAGGACACAACTGTAAGAATGGTGAAAAGCTGCTCTCTAAATTATTTTTTGATTGAAAGTGGAGGATTTGTTAGAATAGTCCACTTTAAAAAAAAAAAAAAAAAAAAAATCACAGTTTTAGTTATTAGACAGCTTTTTAGCTTTAAAAATTCACAGACTTGTAAACACAGATTTCTGCTGCTTGGATGCCAAAAGCTGATTGGAAAAATAGCTTTCACACCAAAAAAATAAACATGTGTCTGTTACCTCCTATACAGCTTTAGTAAACACATACTACAGTTGCTTCACATTTCTAACATCCACTTTTTACCCTCACAACCATAAGTAACTCTTCTAAATTTGACTGAGGAGGAAATCTTCATTATCTAAATTCCTTTTAATATAAAAGGCTAACACCCAGACAGGGAATCAGGACATTATATTTAAATATTCATTATCAGAAAACATTTCACTGATTCTTTTACATTGTAGGGGCTGAAGAGAGAGAGAAGAGGGGGAACTTAACAGAAATGTTCTCAAAGCTGTGCAACCTAACAACTTCACTACTTTGGTCTCATTAGTTCTGTGTAAAAGTCTCATATCAAAGTGTGTCAACTCTAAACAAAGAAATGCAGTAATTGTCTTATAGATTAAGACTCAGGAATTATAAAGAGATATCAGTGTTGTAGGGTCCAGCAACAGAAACCGCTCCTCTAGAGCATCTGAGGTTCACCAGTACACCCATTGCATCTCTCTCACCCTAAGTCCCTTTCTTCTTGGAGTCAATTCCTTGCCCATTCCCTTCCAGCAGGAGAGGACAGACAGCCCAAATCACATCTTCAAGCAAGACTCCTGAAAAGGTAATCTCACTGTGAATGGAAGGAACAAAGAGCAGTTGGTGAGCAATGTCTCCCTAGAATAAAAAAAAATAATAGATCCAATGTCCAGAAACTCATTCTATGGGCAGCAGCAGAGGGAAACAATATAAGGAACATCCCATGGGGAACACACCAAAGCTTCTGCATAGCTGCCAAATTTAGAACTCAGGTTTCTATAGCCTCCAGGTTCAAGATTTTGAGAAGTGTCAAAACTGAGACTTCCTAATTGTGGTTAATTTTACATGAGCATTTTTTATTCTTCCAGGAAATTCTGTGATGGAAGCACATTCCCCAGTGCTAACAAAACATTGACAAACTCATTGTTAAATATGACAAACCTGTCATAACCTATTCCCATCATGCTCAGCACATGACAGGTCAAGCAAAAATTGCCAGCTGCCAAATTCAACACTCTTTTTTTCCTCTTGCATTTGAATCCTTTCTTGGCATATGAGAAAAATATGAGACAGTTTTTCATTCAGGACAGCAACTACCTTGACATTTATACCGAGCACATTTACATTTTCTGCAAGTGAACGTGCTAATGAAGTTTTGTACCTACGAGTACAAAAGTTAGCAGAAGCAGAATGTAGCCATACATTTTGGCAATGAATCATTTAGCTATCTAGGATTTGTCCTAATGGAAAGCTCTTTTCTTAAAATCAGGCATGTCACACTCCTACTGCTGGATATCCCAGTAATTGTCTCTAGCATGATGAATCCTGAGGATGCTATGACAGGACTCAGAGAGATCATGAAAGGCTTATACTAGTCAGGGAATAGTAAACTGCCTCTCCATGCTGGTTTAGGAGCCAAAAGCACTTTCAGCAGTCAGGAGGCTCAGAAGTACCAACCGGTCAACTGCTGCCCACGTGCCTAGTCAGCCCCTGGCAATGAGCAGAATGTGCTGCCTCAGCCCCAGGCAGGGAGACACCCGACATCCCAGCAAGGGAGGCAAAGGACACTTGACCATGTGGGAAGCTGCTAGCTGCTGCATAGGGCTGGGAAAGAAAAAGCAATCAACCAACCCAAACAGTATCACTAATGACCCTGCGTTCAGATGGCACCATCCACCTCCAGGCCAGATAGCAGCTGCTGTTCTACTATTGTGAACGTGAGGACTGGATTAAAACATTCTTTGTCTACCTACACTAAAGAAGACATATTTCTGATCACTGTTTCTTTTACTATGACTCCAACCTTGTACATCTTACCTTCACCACTCCCAGCATCCCTAAGACCACACTTTACTCCCCAAGTTATCATGTTTTATTCTCATTAGGGCTGCAAGCTGTAACTACTGCCCAATCTCCCTACATGAGCTCCTGCAGCCTCTGGCACAGAGTATCTGTCACCCATTTCCTCTCATTTCTGTACTACTAGAGACATCCTGTATTTTCCAGTCTCAATCTCCAACTGACCCTTACCCACTCAAGGGCTTCCAGCCTTGCACACTGTTGCTTACGTGTCATATCCACATTGCAGTTCTGGGACTGCATCATCTCTGAACCCAGCCACGGGGACTGAGATTTGCTCCTGCCAGTATCTCCAATACCTGCAGTCTCCCTCCAGCCTAGGGCTTCAGATCAGAAGCAGTTGGTGATTCCAAGAAGATCTGCCTGGCACACAGAGTAGGACAGAAGCCACGGACATGCCTTGCAACCAAGAATTTTCTTTCTTTAGGTCCCCCAGTCAAGAAAAGTTTCATCAAAAGTTACACAGCAGCTCCTCCTCCGTTCTATGGCCCAGCACAGAAATCTTACTTCTCCCCCAGAGTGAGGACAGCCACTTTTGCTACAGTCATTTCAGTGGATCATTAGGGAGTTGTGCAAAACTCAAGGTATCCAGAAGTATGGTTGGCTGGGTGACTTGACCTCATGACAGCATAACTCGCAACTCCCGCATTCCCCTTTAGAAACAACCAAATATGAAAAAAGCATGAATATAATGACATCATTGTTTTGGAGCTGAGAATAGCAATAGTTTTTTCCTTCTTGTCATAAATTCCTCTCAAAAGTCAGTTGGTTAGTGCATTAAAGTACTTCTTTGTAATCGCAAATGCAGAGTAATATATTCCAATAGAGATTTTACAAGATTCAGCTCAAGCTTGAAATCCCAAAGTTCATCCTTCTGAACAGAAAAAATTGTTTTCATTTGAATATGTCTTCTCTTACATTTGCTTTTTATTATTGTATTCCCTCTACGTATACTGTGTTATGAAGAAGACAATGCAGATTACCTAAGGCATTATTTATCTCTTATCTATTGCCTTCATGGTGTTCACAGTAGTCTATTTTGCTTTTCTGAGGTATCAACCAGCATTTAATTCATCTTTCTAAGCTAAAACTCTCCCTAAGTCAACATAAGAGCAGAGGATGAAGACAGAGAGCACATCAGTGTGCCACTGACCCAGGTGTTAGTCCAAGGGCAACTCAGACTGATGGGCTCTTCCCTGGGTCTGCAGGGTGGGTGCACAGGGAAGGGAAGAAGCAACACGAGGTACAGAGATGGAATGAACATGAACAACTTCATTATATGAGGATTTTTCTGTTAATGTGTTTATAAAGCTCTGTCCTAAGTCCCTTGCTCATCACTTCACCCCACCTGCGAGAGCTATATGCTGGGAGAAGAGAGGAGGGACAGGACAGGGACCCAATGTAAGTCCACACCCCGCAGCAGTGAGCAGGGAGTCAGGTGCTGCCAGGAATCACAGTATGCCCTGTGTGAATGCAGACTGACTGCACCGCAAAGCACAGCAGCCACATACCAAAAACACACTCCAAGAAGCCTCGCTTACAGCCTGGTCAAATAAAACTGCAGGTGATTTCATCCCTTGGGAGACATCTTAAAGAAATACTGAAATCGATAGTATTGTGTCATTAATTTCACTGATCATCAAATCCTTTGTAACTTATGTTTTAACTCTGAACTGGGAAAAAAAAAAGGGTATTTGTATTTGTAGAAATGCTAGCTACAACATTTGGCAGCTCCTGGGTTATTTTGTGCTGCACTGACTGCTTGAGAGCTCTTCTTTAATGGCATTTCACAGGGCACAGCCTGAAAGTCTTCACCTGCATCTGAAGGTTTCCTGATGGCATTTGCTTTTGTTGAGCTGGACAAGGTGACACCAAAACACCTCTCTCTGAAGTGTGACAGACAGGTAGTCCCCAATTCTGACCTCTGACCCAAGTCCAAATGTCTACAGTAATATGCACATACTCTAGTCTCTTCCCAGATAGTTTCAGACTAAATTTTTCTTCAGCACCAGACCTAGCAGACACAGGGAGATTAACAGATGGACAAAATTTGGCACTCTGGGACTCTTTCTGAAGTCAGCAGCACAAGGGATAGCATGCAGAAGAGTCACTTGAATTCAGTCTTTCAGCTCACGTGTACCTTCTATCCTGCACACAACCTTGTGGCACCTGATTTTTATATCTGGCAAAAATACACTCGATAAGCAGCTGCCCTCTCTTCCCTTTTGGGGCTGAACTGCTGAAGTTGCCTTCACCTTTCAGATGCTCAGAGGTACTCTAGTATGGTAATAGTCCCTTCTGGAAAGATCCAGCTTTAGCCAATTTTTTCCTGCTGCCAAGGTTCAACAGCACACCTGCGCTCCTGAGAGAGAAGTTGTCTAAAGATCACTTGATATTTGACCTGCTGTGTCACCCAGCAAGGTGCTTCA